AGACTTGAAGGTTGAGGGTGACTTGGCCGTTGGGGGCCGGAATATCTAAAGGTTTGTTCTCTTGCATGTCTGGTGGTTGAGGCTGGCTGTCAGCTGGGACCTCTGCTGGGGCCGCTGACCAGAGCCGGGGGGAGGTGCGGGGGGGCTTCCTCGCAGCCTGGTGGCTAAAGGCCCACCCACAAGTCAGAAGCTGCATCACCTCACAACTTGCGTGGCGTCACCTCCTCTTCGCTTTTTGGCTGTAAGTGGTTCATGATCCCACCCAGATTCAGAGGGAGGGGAATGAAAGAAAGTTTTGGAAGAGCATGGAGATGGGCAATGTGGTTGAGGCCATCTTGGGAAAATAGATTCTGTCACAGGTGTTCCTTGCAGTGGTGTTTGTGCTGGGCCACCATCCCTTAGCCAAACCCCTGGGGGTCAGAAGTGTTTTGAAATTTAAAAAATCTTGGAATTTTGAAGGTAATACAGTACACACACACACAATATTTACAAAGCACTCCTTGGGAGGGATGAGTCACCCTGTAAGTAAAAAATCTAAATGTTTCCTCAGCAGAGCATGAGTACATTGCTATTAAGTATGATAAAGATTATAGATAGCTTTCGGTCTGGTGAAGTCCAGTTTTGCCACTTAAAGAAGTTCAGGTCAGGTCAGAACTTGCTGCCAAGTAAATGATGAAAGAATTAGGTTTCAGACTTTTTAGACTTTGAATGGTGGCTAAGGGTCTATCTATGCATCAGTAATAGCAAAAAATTGAATACAACCTAACTAGACATCATCACGGGGGGGAAAAGCCTTTAAAAAGTACAGCCTAATTCTATGATGAAGTACTGCACAGCAGGGAAAATGAATCAACTCAAGCTACATGTTTCATTGTGGATATATCTCATAAGAACAATGTGGAGAGAAAGCAAGTGGCAGGAGAGTCTGTTTGTGGTCAGTCAGTAGAGACGAGCAGCCCCTCGATCTCAGAGGCTTAAAACCGAGTTTTAGTTCTTGCTCAGGCCTGGTGTTCACCACTGGCCAGGTGGGCTGGGGGAGTGTTCCGCTCACGGTGGAGCCCTGCCGTGGAGACAGCTGCTCTGCAGAAAATCGGTGGTTATTGTGGTAGGAAAACCGGTGGCGGAGGACCCACTGGCTTTTAAAGCGGCTGGCAGGAAGCGACGTCTGTTGTTCCTTCTGCTCTGAGCCTCAGTTTCCTCTGAACCACTGCCTGGCTGGAGGTAACCAGGGTGAACCTCACTGACAACGCAGAGTCAGCTAGCACTCCCCGTACCGGAAGCTGTCATTGCTAAGGCTCCTGGGACCTGGAGAGCAGTTATGCTCCAGTCAAGGATCCTTATCTGCTGACTGCCTCTGGCATTTGGAACTCAGATAGTCATTGCCTTGTGATCTTATCACATGACTGGGGATTAGTGTTTGTAGCTTGTGCAACGGGCTTTGGTGCAATGGCTTTCTCAAGGAGGGTGCCTGGAACCTTTGGCCTATTCACGTGAAGCATCTCTTGCCTCGACTGCCAGAACACCCAGCCTCCTACCCCCCTGTATTCCTGGCAGAGTCGCCCTGTCTGCCATGCTGAGCAAAGTTGGGTTTCCTCAAGGCTCAGCCCACAGTGCTCGCTCCCCTCCTCCAGACCAGCTGCCCACGGGCAGTGTTGCAGAGTGGTTTCCATTTACATTTTTCAGAAGACGTGGCATCTTTTCATATGCTTATTGGCCACTTGGATATGTTCTCTTACGAGATGCATATCCATGTCTTCTGCTTGTTTTTTGTTTTTTTTTCCTTATCGGATTGTTGCTCTGTATTATTTTGGATGTGTTCTTTATCAGCTCTCTATATTTCTTCTTATCTTACTGTGCAGCCTATTTTTTCCCCTTAATGATGTCTTTTGATGAAGAGAAATTCTTATTTGAATGTAGCCCAGCCTGTCAAAGTTTTGGTTGGTGTTTCTGCCCTCTGACAACTCGTTGCCTCCTCCAAGGACATGGCATTCGTGTATGTTTTAGTCTAAAAGCTTTTTTGTGTGTTATGGTTTACATTTAGAGTTACAATTCATCTTGAATTGATTTTGTGGAAGGTGTGGGGGAGCAGTGAAGGGTCTTTCTCTTTCCACATGGAAGTCTGATTGATCCAGTACTGGTTCACTTAGACAAAGCAACATTGCGTGGTGGTAGATGGGTGTTCATTGTACCTTTCTTGCAACTTCTCTGTAGCCTTAAAAATGTTTTAAATAGCCCTGGCTGGTGTGGCTCAGTGGATTGAGCACCAGCCTGAGAACCAAAAGGTCACTGGCTTGATTCCCACTCAGGGCACATGCCTGGGCTGTGAGCCTGGTCTCCAGCTGGAGGCCTGCGAGAGGCAGCCACACATTGATGTTTATCTCTTTCTCCCTCCCTTCCCCTCTCTAAAAATAAATAAATAAAACCTTTAACAAAATGTTTTAAATAAGGTGTTGGGGGGGAATGTTTAAAAAAAAGGCAGAGGTAGTGTTGTAGATAAATAAATACTAGAAATAGCCCTGGCTGGTGTAGCTCAGTGGACTGAGTGCCGGCTGAGAAGTAAAGGGTCGCCAGTTTGATTCCCAGTCAGGGCACATGCCTGGGTTTCAGGCCAGATCCCCAGTAGGGGGCGTGTGAGAGGCAACCACACATCAATATTTCTCTCCCTCTCTTTCTCCTTCTCTTCCCCTCTCTCTAAAAATGAATAAATAAATAATTTTTAAAAATACTAGAAATAATTCCAAATGTAATGTGTAAGCCTTGAGTTGATACTGTTGAAAGTTAAACAGCTATAAAGGGATTCTTTAAACAAATGGGGAAATTTGGAAATGAAACATATATTATAGGCTATTATGGTGTGATTGTTCATCTTCTTAGGTGTGATGATATTATTGTGTTTATCTACGAGAATGCAATTTTTGTTAGGATTTTTGCTGAAGTATTGAGACATTAAGTACCAGTAAGGCAGCAACTCCTTTTAAATAATTCAGAAAAAAATTATACATATGAACATGGATAGATAAATCTGGAAAAGCGATGGAGAGCATTCTTTGTACTCCTATTTCAAGTTTCCTGTGTGTTTGAAATCGTTGACTGGAGACATGGTAGGAGAGAGGCCATCGTGTGGGCCAAACAAAAAGTAGTTCATGGCAGCTCACAGCAGCCGTGCAGGATTTCTGGTCTAGGGTCTCTCTCCTGCTCTTCTGCCTGTTCCGCATCATTTCACAGATAACAAATAGAAGCTCAGAGGGGTAAGTGATTTACTCAAGGTCACACAACTAGCTGAAACCAGGCCAAGATTTAAGCCCACATTTGTCTGAGTCAAAATTTCTGCTTTGTTGTTGTTGTTGTTGTTTAAGCCTCTTCTCTCCCACCTCATTTCCCAGGTCTGTTGGAGCTGGTGGGAGTTGTGTGCCTTTCCTACGCGCGCCAGGCTTTGCATGTATTACTCAAACCCTCACAGCAACCGATGATGCAGTTGTTACTAATAACATCCCCCACGTTACTGAGAGGCCCAGAGAGGTTAAGTAACCTGCCTAAGGTCACTCAGGTAAGAACAGAAGAGCTGGGAGTCAGAGAACGTGGGTGGTTGGTTTGGTTCTCGAGTTCTCACTTCAAGGATGAAAGAAATACTAAGAAATGTATAAGTCAACTTTAGGAATATAAAACAGGATTATTGTTGGTTCTCACAGAATCCTTGCAAAATCCTCTCTCCTCCTGACTTCTTCTGGCATCCAAAGATAGTGCCCCCCACTTTCAGATGTGTCTACACAGGGGACCCTTGCCTCCTCATTTCGGCTGGCAGCTGCTTGAAGCTTGGGGCTGGTTCTACTGGTCCTGGGGTAAGACCACACACTGCCTTTGGAGATCCTCTGGCCTGGGGCTGATTGTAAAGCTAGATGTTTTGAATATGGTCTCACACTATCCTATGCAATAGGATACCAATTTGCCTGCAGGATGAGAATTAGGGGCCAGATGGAATGCTGAGGCCTTTACAACCTAGTGCTCAAGGGGCTGCCTTGGGAGACATATCAATTGTCATCGGAGCCCTCACCCTTATTCCAAGACTTGGCTGAATTGCTTCTCCCTCTAGGAACCTGTTTCTTCTTAAAAAAAAAAAATCATAAGAATAATAAGAGCACATATCTCAGGAATGTTGGGGGGATGTAAAGAGATAGATAAAACCCAGTATCTCTCCACACGTGTCGTCACATTGATAACTGTTATCATTACATTCCTTACGATTCCGTGGGATGTGGGCCCTGCAACCTCAACCCTGCTGCTCCCCCTGTCTTACTGGAGTCAACCTGGGGACAGATCAGGCTTTTGAACCTCAGGCCTTTGCATCTGCTATTCAGCCTTTTATGCCTCGGTTCTTGGCCCCTGCTCAGTGAGGCCTTCCTTGACCCCCCTAGCTTCCTCCACACATGCTCCGGTTTTATTGTGTTCATATCACTTATCAGTACCTGATATGATGAATCGATCTGTTTCGTTTTCTCCTCCCGTTCGAACATAAATTTTAAGAAGACACGGATTTTGTTTTACTCTTGGTGGCCTCCCCAGGGTCAAGAACGGTGTCTGGCCTATGTCTGGTGTTCCATAAATGGGGAACTGAGCGAATGAGTGAATGGGTGAATGAATGAAAGCGTATACCGAGCTTCATCGCCTACAATCCCAGATCTTCCGCCGCACTTGGCGACCGGCAGCTTCAGACCCTGCAGACGGTCCCTTGGCTCCTGGGCTGGGGGGTGCGAAGCGCGGAGCCGACGGGCACTTGAACGCAGCTCCCCGAAAGCCTGGGCGGTGGCCGCGCCGGGAGAGGGGCTGTCGCCATTTGGCGACGTTCCCTTCGGGCCGCCGGGCAGCGGCGGGGGCCGAGCGGCGAGCGCGCGCGCGCGCGCGCGCGGCTCTTTGACGACGGTGCCCGGCGGCCCTGGCCCCGCCCCGCCTGGCCCCGCCCCCAGCCGCCCGCCCCGCCCCCAGCTGACCGCCCCGCTCCCGCCGCTCTGCTCCTCCGGGCCGCTCCGGCCCCCGCCCGCTTCATGTGTCCCGGCCCGCGGCGGCCGGCGGCTGGGAGCGGCAAGGCGGCGGCCAGCGGCGGCCGGCGAGACCCGGGAGGGGGTGGCCGAGGCCCAGGCGGCGGCGGAGGCCTAGGAGGCGGCGGACGGGAAGCGGTGGGAGCAGGCCCGGCCCGGCCCACGAGCGGTCCCCCGGCTGCAGCATGCGCGTCCGCCGGGGGCTGCTGCGGCTGCCGCGCCGCTCGCTGATCGCCGCGCTCTTCTTCTTCTCGCTCTCGTCCTCGCTGCTCTACTTCGTCTATGTGGCCCCCGGTATAGGTAAGAAGGGAAGCATGGGACCCGGAAGGTGCTGCTCTGGCCTCGAGGGGCCCCGGGGAGCCCCTCCTCGCCCCGCGGGGACCCCCGCCCAGAGGCGACCCCGGACCCGGCCGGGAAACCACGGGGACCCCGGCCTGATCCTCGGGAGACGCCGGAGCATTCCCGCCCTCTGCGCCCCGACGGGCTCTGGAACTCCCCCTTCGCGCCCCCAGCCTGCCCGCCAGCCCCCTGCCCTCCTAACCCCAGCCCCTGGCGAACGCAGCGTGCTTCCACACACCCCTGTTTCATGCCCGGGCTCCCCCTTTCCCGCCCAGACCGCCCTAGAGCCCGCACTTCCCGCTTCTCGGGCTCCAGAGCTCCCGCTCCTCCTTCCCCGGGGTCGCCTCGAGCCCCCGTTCCCGGCATTCCGTGCACCCCGAACCGCCCCGGCCCGCCTGCCGTTCCTTGCGGAGCAGCCAGACCCGGTGCGCGGGTCTGGAGGCGCCCCGCCTTCCCCGTGGCCATCCATCCTCCCCCTCGCGCCTCCCCGGTGACTCCACCGTTTTTTCCTCATCTTCCCAACACTTTCTTCCCTCCACTTTCCCCGGTGACATCCACCTCCAGGTCCTCCCCAACACCCACGTTCTCTCCCAAGTGGCCGGCCTCGCCGCCCGGTGGCACCCCTCCCCATTCCAGCCGCTAACCCGGGAGCGTCCCTACCTTTTCCCAGCTCTGCCCCACCCCCAAGGGCACTCCCTAGTCACCCCCTCCCCTGACGATAACTGCCTCCCCCGCGTCTCAAACCACCCTCCTGCGGTCCTCTGCCACAGTTTCCTCTTGAAGGAAGGAGGACTTCAGGTGCTGTCTGCGCTGCTTCCCCCTCGGTCCACTCCTGCCCTTTCCTAGCCTCGAGGAGAGAAGGTGGCCCTTCAGTAGTCCGTGGTGCCCACTCTCGGGTCGGAGAGATTAGTCAAATTGGCCCTAGAAGAGGAATATGATAAGGGCCCCGGGGGAAAGGTGTCAGGTGAGAAGGGGGAGAAAAGATGGAATGGGTACTTCTGCTTCTCAAAGGCATGTCCTTTAAAGAGCCACCGAAGAAACGGAACCCTGCCCCGGACTTCACAGGACCACAGAGCAGACAGACATCTAGGACAGGAAGAGCAATTAGAAGGAACCGCAGCATGGGGGCTCAGATCAGAGGATGTTGAGGTCAGGCTTGGATTTGAATGCCTGCCCTGTATGACCTTGGGTAGTTGTTCAACCTCAGCTTTTCTCCTCTGTAGAATGGGGTGCTGATCCTGACCTCAGACGGGTTGAAGGGTGGAAGTAGATACATTCCCTTTTAAAGCACTTGTCACTGGATGTGACACATAGTTTTCATTAAAAAAAAAAAACTTGAGAGAAAAGAGAGTAGATGGAAGTTTTCAGGAATGCATTTGCCTGACTTGGCTTCACGAGGGGGCTCTAGAAAAAACCTCGGTTTAGGGTGAAAAATGGTCAGGGGGTGGGCCAAGGAGAGTAGTCCTGCTAGAAAAAGTCTGGATTATTTGTATGTTACGGAAAGGCTGGAGGTTTAATTAACTCCAGGGTAATACCCATTAGGATTGTAGTGGTGACTGACGCCATTCTCTGTTGACCTGTCAACACTGAACTAGCTGAATAGAGAAATTTCTAGATAGAGCGGGAGATTGTCTCCGGATTTTTAGTTAGAGCATGTTTCACTTGATGCTTAATATCGGTGGTCTGTGCTATAAACTAGGTCTAGGAAGACAGAACAGAGGTCAGATGGCCTTAGCAGTTTATGAGGTGTCTTAGGAAAAGCATCCCCCTGGGAAGCCACAGTATATGGCATGACGGATCAGTAGATAGGAATTTTGGCAGAAGAAGAACAGGTTGAGTAGTTAGTGAAATTCATTAAGAAGAGTTCGTTCGCTTATCGGACATTAGACTGATGAAAATGGGTGTAGAAGGATGGATTTGGACCTAGAGGCAGTCTTGCAGCCATAACCCCTTTTGTGACGGTGACAGGTTCTTTCGGCTGTGGGTGCCTGTCAGCCATGTCTAAACGGAAAAATATGTCCCACTGAGTTGGTAACCACCCTTTCAGTTAGAAGGACTAGAAGCCAGATCTTCCAACAGAAGTGGAGCTCATCCACTTCATTAAAATTCCTCATTGGTAGATTCTGAGGTCAGTGGGACCCGGTGCACAGGGATGGGCTTCTGCCATGCTGAGATTCCCATGTCACTGATCCCTGAGAAGGCCGCCAAGCACTGCAGTTTTTCATTGTATCTCCTTACAGGCAAGTCTTCTAAAAGGCAGATCTGTTGGTGGGAAAGGGGAAGCTGGAAAAAGGATGTGGAGTGGTTACCTTCAGCTAGTTTGATCGTTTGACTTGGCTTTCCTGTTAATGAGGTTAATTTTTCAAGCGACTGGGTTTGGACAGTTGCGTGGCCCGCCTTTCCAAAAGGCTAAGGCAGTCTAGAAAACTAGAAGGTTTTATGTGCTTTGGGATGTGAACACCTTATTTGGGATAATCATTAACATGAGCTTAGAAAATAATATCGGGTCAAACCGTATGAAATTTCTGTTTCTGCAGGGCAGAGACGGTTGTACATCGTGACAGTTTGGTATGGCTCAACCTGATACATTTCCAAGTAACGACAATTGTTTTCTGGCATAACGGAAAGTGTCAGACTTATATTTTCTTCCAGGTTTAATTTTTTCCAGCCTTCCTTTTGATTTGCTTTGTATACCCTGTGGCCACATTTTGCCCAAGGACTAAAGGGAAGTCATCACTCCAAGAGGGTGTTCAGAAATAGGTAGACTTGAATTTGAGATGAGGGAAATCATGTTGGTTATAATATAACCCCGCCACAATTTCAGCCTAGCCATTAACTCAGTACTTTTGATATCTAATGCCAGCTCTATTGTCGGTGACTCACAGTTTCAGAGCAAAGGGAAATTTTCCTGGACTCGAGGGGTCATCTGAAATGGCCTGATGGTATTGTTTGATCAAGGAAATTGAAGGTGAGGAAAATCACTAAATATGACTGTAGTGAGTTTGTAATGGATACAAAGTACTTTTAGCTACTTTACTATCTCCATCCCAAACCAATGAGTAATTATTTTAAATATGCCTTCATTGGACATTGTTTTTCTTTGGGGGGGAGTGGTTGTTGTTAATTCAACAGTAATATTTTATATCAGCAGTTTAAAAGTGGAAATGGAAAGGATGGGGCAGAAAGTGTGATGGAAGTGGTAGATTTGAAAAAGGAAGAGGAAGGTGAAATGGTGATAAAAATTCCTCTTTTCTCTAGTCCGGTCTGCCCCATAGCTTAAGTTATTCTTGTTTATTTAATTACTTATTGTACCTGCGCTGATGAAATGACCCTGTTCCTTTCAGGATTCTGAAGAAAACTTTGAACGTATTTATGATCCTTTTACCTTTTATGAAAAAGACCTGAGAGCTCAGAGTACTTTCATATTCCAGTCTTATCGGGTCTTTTAGAAGATAATGAACAGTTTATTGACGTGTATACGAGTGCTGATTTTAAAACATCTTAATTAGTTTATGATGCCGTCATAGGGGAAGGTTGTATAAAGGTTACTGACCTTTGCAAATGGTTAAACGTTGCCAATTTTGAGAGAGGTGCCCGTGCGTGGTTAGAGGTGATACGCTATGCATCAATTAAATTTTAGTAATTGCAGCTCTACCGCTTAAACTAATTTTTCTTTTGTCTTCTGGTTATTGAGGAAAGGAAATGTGGAATGGTTTTTCCCTTTTGGCCTGCTTAGTTCCAAGGAAAGTTTGATTCATGGCTGGCTTTTGGACCGCAGGAACCAGTAATTCTAATCCCTCCCATCATGACCAGATGACCTTGAGCAAGTCACTTGATTCTTTGATCTTAAACTTGGCACAAAAAACAAAGCTGGTTGATAAACTAGAACTGCATCTTAGTCAGACTTTGAATGAGTTGTTTTTACCTATAGAAAGTTGAGAATTTATTTACATTCTATACAAATATTGGACCTGTTTTATATAATCAAATACAACTTTTTCTAATAACCACAGGACAGTTTTAGTACTGCTAAGTGCTGTGTGAAAATTTTGGCATGTTTCTCGTGTGAAAATGCGCTCCAAATGCATCAGTGCACTTAGTTCTGAGCTTTTCTGGAGTGAAACAAATATGCTGAGATGGGGGCTGTGTTATGTTAGGAAACAAAGAAGCCTCACCCTGTTAAAGGCACCCCCTCCCTCCACGCGCACCTGCACGCACGCACTCAGATATTTTCTGTGAGTCTTGCGTCACGTCGTTCTGACGGACACCACATTTGGAGAACAGGTTGAAGTTATAAATCGGAACAGCGCCCTGTGGACCAGGACTTTGGTCATATTTTATGTCCTCTCTGCAGAATTCTGCTACATTGGAAGCAAGGTCTTGGGTTTGGAGCTGAAATGTCTTTAACAATGAAAGTGGGCCAGACTGGGACAGTCTTGGAAGCAGCCACTCAGACGGTCTCAGTTAGTTCCCCAGGCCGTCTGTACTCACGCCGCTAGACAGCTCTGCTCTGGTCTCGTTTCTCACCCTGTGCTCCACAGGCCCGTGGGCGCAGCGTGTTATATGTCATCAGGAGGAAGGTCCGTGCATGTTAACACGGCTCTTCAGAGCTCTCCAAGGGACTGGGAATGCCAAAGCCCTGGAAGCCAAAGTGCTACTGACCTACTCCCTCTAGCTTTACAGCTTTTTAGATCATGGAATATAATGTCGAGCACATCCGACTATATAAGGCCAACCGAGCTTTAGCGAGCGAGAAGTAAGGAACGCAAGGTTGCCGAGGCCTGTCAGAGAAACAGAGGAAACTGGAAGTTGGTGCTGGTCAAAGGAAAAAGGTAATTGGAAGCAAAGGGAACAGGTATCGGCTTAGAAGAAGTGAATGGCACTATCAGGAGAAGCGGCAGGCTTGTGAGCACTGTCAGTGAAAGAGCGCCTACTCTCTAGGTCCTAGTGCTAGCCACAGA